AGCGACACGGTGGCCGCCTGCTCCCAAAAGGGCTCGGATGCTGCGGCCGGGCGCCCGAGCGGCCCGCGGCCGGGCGCCCGAGCGGCCCGCGGCCGCGACGCCCGCGCCTCCACAAGCCTGCCCTGCCGCGCGTCCGCCACGGGCGAGAGGGGCCCACACATGTCCGCATCGTGTCAGCGTCTTGGCTGCACCAGGCCTTCCGGGCGAGCACCAACAACAGAGGCCTCGCGAACTAGGGTGCAAGCAGGTGGGGTCGGAGGATCGCGCCGCATCGGCGATGCACCGGCGACGTGGCGCAATCCTCCGATCCCATCTGATGGGCCTGTTTCCCACCACCACCACCACCATAAGTTGGAGGGGGCAGGGGGTCCTCCTGCTCCCCCTCCTCCTCCTCCTCCTCCTCCTCCTCCTCCTCCTCCTCCACCACCTCCTCCTCCTCTTCGTCCTCAACCTCCTTCCCTCCTCCAACTTATGGTGGTGGTGGTGGAAAACAGGCCCATCACCATCTACTCAAGCTCCTTTGGGAGGCCTGAGAACAGCACCTCTGCGTCCAAGCCGTCATGAATGCCACCACTGGGCGCAGTTTGCACCGCAGGGGCACGGTGGCCCTAACGCTAGGTCGGGCATGTCCCCCTACTGGCAGATTCTGGAGGGAAAAAAAGATTCAAACATATTGAAGCATGGCCGAAAAAGACGGAAAACAAATCGTTCCCAGACTATTGTTTACAAATTTTGAATACTCCTCCTGTAGGGGGACAGGCCCGACTCAACCCTAATGGGGGTGATCCCGATCCCTGGGCATTCGTTGTGCTTCGGCCTGCTTTCTGGCCCACAGCACGTGAGGAGCAGGCGGGGCGCATTACTGAGGCAGGTCGCGGAGGGCTTCCCCACAGAAGGCGAGCTGTGCCTTCGTCCCTCGCTGCCAGGGCGTCGTCGCGAGCTCGTGTTCTACCACAATAGGGACCCGACCACAGGAAACCTTCCGCAAGAAACCCAACCCTGAGACCCCAGGCCGTCCATCGATTTCTGGTGGAACGTCGTGATCTCCATGGCAAAACCACCGAAACCCAAGAAACCCAGGGCACCCTGGAGGCAAGCAGGGTGTTTCTTGGCATGGGCCTCCACTGTATGGGTGGGGCATCGACCTGCGTTGCATGCTCCACCGGCAGTGTCTGCACTCGGGGCGGCCCTGCTCGAACCGGTCGGCGGTGGACGCGCTGAGGCTCCGTGGTCGCTCCCACGCGGCGGGGCCCGGAAACCCTGAGCCCCAAAAAGCTGCCATCCCTTGGGGCCGCAGCATCTACTCCCGCTGCCTTCCGCCACCATTCCGCCGACTTCCGCGGAGGGAGAGGCGGCAACTTCTCATCCCTCGGAGGCGAGGCCCTTTCTGAAGCGCCTCGCGTGATTGGTGCCCTGCGGCTGGTGCCCCGTGATGTTCACGCGCGCCACCCTCCTGCTTGCCATCGCTCGGACGTCCATTTTCCGTGAATTGATCGATTTCGTGCGCGTTGTGTTGCTCGATGATCCAGGATGCTCCTCAATGGCCCTCGCCGAGAAAAATGCACATGCCCGAGTGATGCCAAGCAATCGCCCTTGGCCCCCATCCCCCTGCTTGAGGGCCAGCGATACAGTGGGATAGGCATAGGGAAGGACGATTCGACCTCGAATGGCCGATACATCGCCCATCTGTCGTCGATGCATCGTCGATGCAGACCGCCCCATGCATCGTCTGTACGATACATCGTCGATACATCGCCCTGATATCAACGATGCATCATCAAAACATCGTCGATGCATCAACCATTCGATGTCGATGCATCCCCCATCCCCTACCCCCCCCTACCCGTATCGTTGCCCCCGCCTTCTCCTCTGCCTCCTCCTGGGGCCTCCTCCTGCCGCATCCCGCTCCTGCTCCTCCCCCTCCCGAGTCCCCTCCTCCTGCTCCTGCTCCTGTCGCGGGCCTCCTCCTCCTCCTCCTCCTCCTGATCCTCTCGAGCCTCCTCCTGCTCCTCCTCCTCCTCCTCCTCTTCCTCCTCCTCCTCCTCCTCCTCCTCCTCCTCTTCCTCCTCCTCCTCCTCCTCCTCCTCCTCCTCCTCCTCATCCCGATCATCCCGCCGCGGCCCTCCTCCTGGGCCTCCTCCTCCCCGAAAAACCCGGAATTCCAGGGGTGGAAACCCGGAACCCGAGGGTTCCGCGTTTTTCACAACTCCTCAAGGTCCCAGGAGGAGAAAACCCGGAACCCTAGGGTTCCAGGTTCTAGGAGAGGAGAAGGAGAGGAGAAGGAGAGGAGAAGACGCGGCCTCGGACACGCTCCGACGCAGCCTCGGACGGCCTCGGACGCGCTCCGACGCGGCCTCGGACGGCCTCCGACACGGCCTCCGACACGGCCTCCGACACGGCCTCCGACACGGCCCTCCGACACGGCCTCCGACACGGCCTCCGACACGGCCCTCGGACACGGCCCTCGGACACGGCCTCCGACACGGCCCTCCGACACGGCCCTCCGACACGGCTTCCGAAACGGCTTCCGAAACGGCTTCCGACACGGTTTCCGAAACGGTTTCGACGCGGCCTCCGAAACGGCCTCCGAAACGGTTTCCGAAACGGCCTCCGACACGGCCTCCGACACGGCCTTCCGACACGGCCTCCGACACGGCTTCCGAAACAGCCTCTGAAACGGCTCCTGAAACGGTTTCATAAACGGTTTCCGACGCGGCCTCCGCCATGGACTCCGGCACGGACTTAGGGAGAAAAGGAAAAGCAGGGAGAAAAGGAGGAGCGGAAAGAAAAGGAGGAGAGGAGAGGAAAGGAGGAGAGGAGAGAAAAGGAGGAGGGGAGAAAAAGGAGAAGGGGAGAGAAATGGCCATCCTCCCCCTGCTCCTCCGCTCCTCCTGGGCCTCCCCCCTGCCGCGCCCTGCTCCTGTCTCGGCCTCCTTCCCTGCTCCCCCTCCACGTGCGCGTCGCGAAAGAGAAGCCCTCGGGCGAGCCCCATGCACGACCAGCACTCCTCCTCCTCCTCCTCCTCCTCCTCCTCCTCCTCCTCCTCCTCCTCCGGGTCCGAACGAACCTATCGCGTCGCAGACGCACACAACTAGAAAAGACGACGGGCTGAAAAAGCAGAGGAGCACAGCGACCAAGGGCAGCGCTCTCACGGGCGAACGTAGCTGCGCCGGTGGCGAGGACAGGGGGGATAGGCAGAGGGGGGACGCATCGCCCCCGAATGGTTGATACATCGACGGTGCATTGTTGAAACCAGGGCGGTGCATCGACGATGTACAGACGACGCAGAGGGCGGCCTGCATCGACGATGCTTCGACGATGCGTGGGAGATGTATCTGCCATTCAAGGTCGATGCATCCTCCCCTGTGCCTATCCCCCCCCTGTCTCGGCCCCTCATCACGGCGCCTGTGCGGGACCTCCGGCTGCGCACTGAGGAGGAGGGGGGGAGAAGGAGGAGGAGGAGGAGGAGAAGAGGAGGAGGAGGAGGAGAAGAAGAGGAGGAGGAGAGGAGGAGGGGGAGGAGGAGGAGGAGGAGGAGGAGGGGAGGAGCAGCAACAGGAGGAGGAGGAGGAGGGGGAGGAGGAGGAGGAGCAGCAGGAGGAGGAGCAGGAGGAGGGGAGGAGGAGGAGGAGGAGGAGGAGGAGGAGGAGGAGAGCTGAGGGGAACGATGCGCGACGAATGCCAGCAGCGACGGGCAGCACAGCAGAGAGGGCAGCAGGCCTGCCGGGCGGTCGCGCCCGAAGCGGAGGTGGAGGAGACGAGGAGGAGGAGGAGGAGGAGGAGGAGGAGGAGGAGGAGGAGGAGGAGGAGGAGGAGGAGGAGACGAGAGCAGCCATAGGCGCCGTGTGTGCATCAATTTGCAGATGGCCCCAGCGACCACTTACATAATAAGGCTTCATACAACGACCCAATCGAGGCGTTCCAATGGCGCAAGTCAGAAGTCTCAGCTCGCTGGGGGGCAGCGAACGCGATGTGTGTTTCTGGGGCGACGGAGGAGGAGGAGGCAATGCTCGTAGGGTAAGAGCACACCTAAGCAGCCCAATCGTCGGTAAGAGCAAACCGAAAGGTCCGAACTTGTCGCGAATGGGTGTCGTGAGGATTGTTATTGACGGATCAAGCGCGCTCGCTTAGCGTATTGGGATCTGGCCCTGGAAACAACGCTGCCCCCCAAGCGACTTCCAAGTCAGAAGAGTCAAATCTGGTACGATAATCAATGTAAGCCAAATGGACACGAAAACAGCCGACGGCCATTGAAAAAATAATCTTAAAATTGGGCGCGCATGCATGGTAGCGGCTGGGCCGAAAACGGGCATCCACGACCAGAGTCGGAGGAGGAGGTGGTCGGAGGAGGGGGAGGACGTAAGAACGTGCATGCGACCCAAACAGGGGGGCAACAGGCTGGGTCGTGGCGCTCGCTTGGCTGGGGCTGAGCTGGAGAGCCCAGCCCGGCGGTGCCAGAAGTCATCCGAGCACAGATGCGCTTCGCACCGACAATCAACAAAAAATCAACAGCAACCACTTCACACCTGTCGGCACGCCCAACATCGGGACAGCAAGAAAACCAACTGCAGCAGGATCGGGCTCCTCCACGCCGTCGGTCGAACCGAAGACGTCGGAGTTCCTCCCCTTCCGATCAGCACAGAAACCGACTGCAGCAGGACCAGGATGCTTGACACTGACAATGGAAAAATCCCAAGTCTGCCCTCTCCCTCTCCTCTGCAACATCACCGTCCCGTCCTCCTCTAAAAAATGACGAGCAGCGAGCAGCTGACAACGCCCAGGGCGCCCAGGGGTAGTCTGAGGAAGGGCGACAGGCGTGCTGAGCACGCTGGCCACTCCTAAAGCTAACGACTGGAAAGCATTAAACGTACTCAGTGTACAGCTGGTTCGAACGCCTCAGCGCGAGAAGGCAGTAGAAGACAGTCGGCTTCAGCTCCCTCTGCCCTCACTCCAGCCAGCTCCTCTCACACTCCTGAGGTTGGCCACGTAGTGGGCACAAGTTAAGAGACATCCTTGGCGTACAGCTGGCTCAGACCAGCGAAGGCGAGAATGCAGCAGAGGTAAGTCAGCTTCAGAACCATCGCCGCGGTGAGGCGGACCTCCCCTACGTAGAACCCTGCAGCACTGTAGCTCATGAACTGCACCAGGTAGTGCCTCCGAGTGTCGACGCTCTCTCCGAAATTCAGCGAGTTGATCACAGAAGGCATCCGCATGCACCTCTCCGACACCTCCGCGGCCTTGAAGAAGATGAACATCACGCCCACGACGAGCAGCGCCGCCGAGAACTGCCATGCCAGGTCTCCCAAGTTGCCCGCCATCAGCGAGCCCTGCCCGGCCAAGATCACGCCCGTGAGCAGCGCAGCCGCGGTGCTCTGCACCGCCAGGAACGTCTTCTCGGCCGCCCCCGACACCTTGCGGAGCACGGCCTGCAGCAGGTTCCACTCGTGCACGCTCGTGTCCAGCCTGAAGTGCGCACCGTCGAAGTGCGTGACGTACGAGTCGACACCAATGGTCAGGGCGCAGCTCACGTGCAGGATGCCGTCCTGGACGAACAAGAAAAGGCGGTGTAACCATCAGAGTGAAAGGCCGAACGATCATTCAGTCCCTGGGCTCGTGGCTGAAGTACGATTCTGTGGTGCGGATTGTTGTTGCTGTTTTTGTTGTTGTCGTTGATATCGTTGTTATTATTGTTGTTGTTACTGTTGTTGTTGTTGGTGGTGGTGTTGTTGGTGTTGCTGTTGTTGTTATTGTTGTTTTTGTTGCTGTTTTTGTTGCTGGTGTGGTTGTTGAACTTGTTGTTGTTGCAGTTGTTGCTGTTGTTGTTTGTCGTCATCCCCTCCGCGACCCGGCCCGCGACCCACCCGCGACCCGCCCGCGACCCCACCCGCGACCCGGCCTGCGACCCGCCCGCGACCCGGCCCGCGACCCGGCCCGCGACCCACCCGCGACCCACCCCGCGACACACCCTGCGACACACTCACACTGCTTTGACGAAAAAACCGGCGCCTGCGGCGGGAGCGCTGCATCATTTGTACAAAAGTTGGGCGCCCGCGGCGGGCTTCACCGGAGCCCATAGCCTGCTGGCGTCCTCGCCGCCGCCTCACTCTTATCCGCAACTGCGGGGTGCTACGCAAACTGTCGAATGGGGCCCAGGCATACACAAATAAATACACACAAGTCCCAATGATCCCCCATATTTTCCCACATCTTCTGGGTTCTCGTCTCCCCCCCCTACTTCCCATATTTTCCCATCTTTTCCTGGGAGTCGACGATTAATTGTGTCTGTGTGTGTTTTTTCCCCTCCTGAACTGTATCGGCGCGGACCTCCGAAAGATGATGCCTACGGTCGGAAACTTTTGCATAGCGTGGCGCCGCGGAGGCCTCGGCGACACGCTGCGCCCTGCAAGCAGATAGCGCGCGTCGCTCCGCTCCGCGGGGCGGGGAGGTTCGACAAGGCTCGAGACGTTGGCGCTCGGAGACCCAGAAGTGGACAGCGCGGTTGGCCAGAACCGGCGGAGAGACATATGCTGCCGTTTGTTAAAGGGGCCCCAGGACACACAAATAAGTACACACAAATAAAAATACTCAATATTTTCCTATATTTCCTGGGTTTTTGTCTTCCCCCCCACTGCCCATATTTTCGCATATTTTCCTGGGGATCGACGATTAATTGTGTCTGTGGTTTTTCCCCTCCTGATTTGTGCTTCGTCGATGTTTGGCATCTGGGGGAAAAGCGGGTCCTGAGGGCACCGTGTCCTGGACCCTGGGGCCTCCCCCCCGGACGGGCTCTTCCTCCTGACTGGCTTTCGGACCGCCCCGGGGCCCGTGGAGGCCCCGTGCAGGGCCCGTGAGCGGCGAAAAGCCTCGGCACCCGTTCCCGTCGGGCCCCGTCCGTTTTCCCCCCCCGCGAGGCGTCCACGATGCCCAGGAACAGCAGGCTCACCACGGCGTAGCTGCCCGTCGTGGCGGCGTCCAGGAGCGTGGGCGGGGGCCCCTGCAGCAGCCAGGCGCAGCGCAGCGCCACGCTGCACACCCACAGGAAGGCCAGCCTCGGGGGGCCCAGGGAGGCACGAACAGGTCGACACACGCGCACACGCACACGTTCCAGGACGCCCGAATGGCTTCTCCCCAGACCTCCTGGATTTCCCTCATTTCAGTCCTTTCCCTCATCTCAATATTTTCACAATCAATCTCATAAATTCCCTCATGTCAAAACTTTCCCTCTTGGATTCCCCTTGGACCTCCTGAGTTTCACTCGTTTCAACTTTTCCCACACTTCGATGAGAATCAGCGCTTGTCAAAGCTTGTGCCGATCGTGATGGGCCTGTCTTCCACTACCACCGCCATAAGTTGGGGGGGGGAGAGGGTCCTCCTCCTCCTCCTCCTCTTCCTCTTCGTCCTCCTCCTCCTCCACCTCCTCCCCCCTCCAACGTAGTTATGGTGGCGGTGGTGGAAGCCAGGCCCATCAGATTACACTCTCTCCCGACAGCCGGGCATGGTGGCCCCTCACGGCGGCCGACCAGGCCGCGGTGATATCCTGCCGGCGGGCGTAGGCCACAAGGATGGACTCCGAGTTGCCGAGGATGCCCAGGGACGCCAGGGACCGCATCGCGAGCAGCCCCGCCAGGCTGCCCACCGCCAGGGCCAGATCGGCGATCTGGGCGAAGCCCAGGCACACCTCGCGCTCGCACGACCCCGCCGGGGCGTAGACCGCCACGAACACGAGGAAGCAGACGATGAGCGCCACGGACGCGAGCACGAGGGACCGGTAGCAGGCGGGCAGGGCGGACCCCGCGCACCACGGGAGCGTCCCGCAGATGCGGAGCCACAGCGGCGAGCTCACCTCGCCCTCCACGGCCAGCGAGCCCACGCTGAGGGTGGGGCCCACGGCTCGAGCAGGGAAGGACATCAGCACAAGCTTTCGGAGCTCCGGAAGCAGTTCCAGGGCCCCGCAGTTGCGGGTCCGAGTGAGGGGGGCGGCGCTAAGTAACTCAGGAGTGGGTCACAAAGGAGTCGCGGGTGGGTCGCGGGGGACGGGTCGCGAGGCCGGTCGCGGGTGGGCGGGTCGCGGGCGGGGGGGGGGTCGCAGGCGAGGGCGAGGACGAAAGCAACAATCATTTTCAGAGTGTTCACTCTCGTGCGCTGGCATGTCATTCAAACCGTAGCTCCCAAGCCCTCGGTACGCGCCCTCCCCATCTTTGATTCAATGATCGTACCTCTTTGGGGGGTATATCTTCCTTCCCTGCCACGAGCTATTAGCGCAACCCTTAAAACATGAATGCCTGAATGGATGGAAAAGGAAGAGAACGAGAAAGAAGGGGGTGGAGGAAGGGCGGGATACTCTCAGGACATCTCAGGCGAGAGCGCGGTTCCTGCGTAACATGTGAAGTACCGAACGGGCGTGAGATCTGATGGCATCGAGAGAGCGATTCGTTAATGTTAGCCCGTGTGGGCCCCGAACTGAGACTTCTGGCGCTCTATGAGGTGCAGTCAATATTATGCAGCCAATGAGGTGCAATCTAAGTTGTGCAGTCCGCGTGGTGCAATCGATGCGGCGCAAAGAAATGCAAAGAAAGGTAAAGCAGCGCAGCGCAGTGCAGCGCAATGCGTAGCAATGCGTATCAATGCAAAGCTACGGGAAGCACTGCGAAGCAAGACGACACAATGCGAAGCAACGCGTAGCAATACATAGCAATGCACAGCAATGCATAGCAATGCAAAGCAGCGCAAAACAACGCAAGTCAATCAAAAGCCACGCAGAGCAATTCAACGCAATTCAAACCAGTGCAAAACAACGCACAGCAACGTACTGTGATGCAACATGATGCACAGCAATGCGAAACAACGCAATACAAATTAAGGTAAACAAGTGCGTAGCACTGCAAAACAATGTAACGCGACGCGAAAGCAACGCAAATCAAGGCGACGCAATACAAAGCAACACAAAGCAACGCACAGCAGCGTCAAGCCATGCGAATCTATTGTTTGGAGGAGCAAGACATTGGAGCGGACAGCGATACTATACACGGCTCATGTTCATCGCGCGGCTGTCTTGAGAGCGTGGCGGACACTCTGGCCAGGGATCTGGGCAACAACGAGATCGTGCCTCGCCACGATTACGTTGCTGTTTATACTGCAGGCGCAGGCTGGGGCGGACATGTCCTGCGCCCCCAGGCAAACGGACGCAAGCAAAAGGAGCCACCTGTGACAATGATTGCCCAGACGAACGGGCTAGGAGGAGGAGGAGGAAGGAGGAGAAGAGGGGAAGGGCAAGAGAGGAGAGCCTGAGACGCCAAGCAAGCCTGGACCGCCACACGAACCGACCTGCGATACGGAAGCATGCGCGCAGAACTAAGGCTTGGGGATACATGCGGGGCGCGCCCCGTGCCTATACCCCCCAAGGCATGAACAGCCATCGGTACTTCACACATCGTGCGCGCGAGGGCGGGGGAGAAGGAGGAGGACGCGGAAGGAGGAAGAAGAGGAGGAGGAAAGGGGAGGCAACACAAACCGATTGCGTGCGTAACCCCGACCGCGACCAACCGCTTACATGAAACACGCAATGAGAGCCAACCGCAGCGCCGAGCGTGGCGGAGCAAAAACTCCGTCGCTCTGGCCTCGGGCGAGGGGGGGGAAAGAGGAGGACGAGAGGGGAAAGGAGGATTGCAAGCTAAGCCGTCGCAGCGCGGGAAATTACATGGCCCTTGAAGCCGCACCACGCGGCGAGGAAACGCACCGCGCTGCTGGCGCGCAGGGCGCGGAGCCGAGGAGTGCTGGCGCTGTGGCCGTGGGCAGGACGGCGGCGGCGGACGCTGGCGGAGGACGCCGGGTCGTGCTCTCTGGGGCTGGGCAGCCGCCTGGGCCCCTCGGGGCCACTGGACCCCCTGGAGCACACGTTTTTGGCCTGCGGGTCGAGAGCGAGCCTCTTCCGGTGAAGAGCTAGGCGGGCCGCGCAAAGCACAAAGTTGGACCCCTGGAGCCCACAGCAAGCCTCAACATCCTGCGCAGCTGGGCCACGGGATGGCCTCCAAAAAGTGCCACGGCACCACGGCCAAACGGAGGAGGGAGGAGAAGGGGGAGCAACAAGGGGGCCTCTGCCCGAGCGCGCGGCAGCGCGCCAAGCTCCCCCACGCCCTCGACTTGGCCGCAGCGGCGGCGGGGCACGGCCGAGATGCAAAAAGCACGCTTTGGGTTATGCTGCTCTCTGCGTACTTAAGGACCAAATCCAAGAGAAGTGATTGATTTTTTCCACTGCTGCAAACGACTGCCATTAGTGCCCAACTGATCAGCAGATCCGGAAGATCGCCCAGGTGAGCCTACCCAGGGTGAACAACTGCAGAGCAGCCCAACTGCAGAGCAGCAAATCCAAGAGAAGTGATTTCGAACACCCGGAAAAATGTCGCAACAGTGTCGAAGCAGTGTCGGGCGAATGTCTCCCAGGGCCCGGCACGTGGAGACCCTCGGGCTTTTGGGTGCTTTCCTGGTGCTCGAAAGTCTTTCTGGTGGTCAAGGCTAAAGTAGGTTGGAACATCATAAGCCTTGGGCGTGGCCCACTGGGGGGATCATAAATGGGGGGGTCAGAAACGGTCCCCGTTCGCGACCCTTTCGGGCCCCTCCGGAGCCCCAAAGGGGCTCGTTTAGGTACCGTTCGGGTACCTTTCCGGACCACCCTCGCCACCCCCCCATTTACGACCCCCCCATTAGGCACCGCTTAAACGCCAGCCGATCCTCGGGCGCCGGGTGCGCAAGGCCGGCGCGGTGGGAGCAGGGGGGGCGACATATAGAGCTCGCAAGGCGCCTCATGCTCGATCGAGGCCCCCCCGCGACTGCACATCCGAGCAGGCGCCCCGCTCTGCCCTGAAAAAGCGCCGCGCCGTGCGCCGCCCATGAAAAAGGCTGTTCGGACGGAAGCAGCGCACATTCGCGCGGGCGCTCGAGCCGACAACAGCTGGCCGACCGCGCGCCACCAGCCAGGCCGATGACGCGGGGGAAAAAAATCCACAGAGCATCTGCTTCATGCTTGGTCCTGGTGTGGGCGAGGGCAGCGCTGCGTAGAGACCTCAGGATAGTGGCGGCCCAGCGCCGCCATATGTTTTCCGCTCCGCGTCGTCCATCGGATTGGTGTCCCAAGGGCAGGGCGTGGTGACTCCCGCACGCGTCGCCGTCGCAACGGCGCCCGCGGCCTCCCGGAGCCGCAGAAGAGAGCACGAGCAAATCCACGCGGCCACCCGTGCAGTGATGCTGTCGGGCCCGCGCGGGCGTTCGAAAAGCCGACGGGCGAGGCGAACACGAAACTGAACGAGGCGAACTCGACATTTAATGCGAGGTCCATGAAGGACTGCGCCGCAAAGGCCGTAACCCAGTCCCCCCAGCCCAGGGACGAGCCGGAGTAGCACCCATCCTTCTCGCGGAAGCGCCGTTGGAGGAACACGCTTGACCTGGGCCACAAAGGGGAGCGCGCTCAAAACGCAGATGCGGTACGCCGGCGCCGACGCCGTCAGGCGAATGCCCGCGCTGGTCGATCTCCACAATCCCGCTCGCTCGAGGGTGTATCTCGACCGGATCCCACTTCAACCCAAACATGCTTCGCGCGCGAGGCCATCCCGACCTGGCCCAATTCAACGCCAGCCACGCAAGCAATGAAAGCGACACAAAATGATACAATTCGGTGCAAGTCAATGCAGAACGCGGCATAACAATGCAAACGAACGCAAATCAGCACAAAGCAACACCTTGCAAAACACGGCATAGCAATGAAGAGCAACGCAGGCCCAGACGACGGGCGGCGACGAGGCGGCGACGGGGCGGTGATGGAGAGAACGTAGCCGCCAGACCAACAGACAGGCCCAGACGACGGGCGGCGACGAGGCGGCTACGGGGCGGCGACGGCGGCAACATAGCCGTCAGACCATCAGCCAGGCCCATTCCCTAGACGACAAATAAGAACTCCTGAATACAAGCAATTTGGGGGGAGCAGAAGTCAAAGCAAGTCTCTGGCGAGAGCGCGACTTCTGGACACATTAGAAGGATGTATCGATCGAAAGCCCGAATGTTCAATACATTGTGAGGAATATCAGGCGGGAGCCGCTGATGTTGTAAACCAGGAGCCACCGACACTTGAGTCCGCGGGAGCCAAGTGGTCAGAGACTGTCAGATGCCGGTCAGCAAGCGGTGGGGTGAGAACGGGGGCCACTAACACAGTCTGACGCGCAAGACTTCCCCGTGTAAAAAACGGGATGCGAGTCCTGGGAGGGGCACCGGTATGGAAATAGGGGCACCGCGGGGAATCAGCAATGGTTGTCCTTCTGAAGTGAAAGCTTTTGTATAATCCTTACCGCGGTCCGACCTTGGCTTAGAACGTAACTGGTGCAGGCTTACTGTAGAGCTCTTTTGGGACAAGAATGGGCCCTTGCGGCATTTTTTTTCGGCCCGACGGGACTTTGCATAAGCCTTCCTCTGGGACAGAAGCCTGGCCCGAAAAGGGCCCTCGTGGGTCTCCGATCGGGCCCGACGCGGCCCTTCGTGTTGCCACGAAGTGGCCTTGATTTGGTTCTTGCTGGGGCCGAGGTTGGGCCCGTCGGGGGCGCCGTCGGGGCCGCCGCGGCGCATGTACTCGATTCCCCTCTCCCCCTCCCTCCTCCCACATACCTCTCCACTCCTACCATCACCTCCACTCCCTCTCCCACATCATAACTTCCATCCTCTTCTTACAACTGGGCCATTTGAATTGGGCCCCCCCCACGGCTGGAGGAGGGATGGAGGATACAGGCAGACAGGCAGGAGGCGATGTTGCGCTGTCGAGCCCTTGTCACGATGAGCAAAGTCAGCACTGCGCCTGGCGAAAGACCTGAGAGCAAAGGGAAAGAGAGGTTAGAGGTGCGTGCATCTCT